ATATAAATAAATAAATAAATATTCTGAGTGTGTTTTTTCTTTCAGGTTGTTAAAGTACACCAAAAAACAGTTGATTCTTATCTAGAAGATATCATTTTGAACAGCATGGAGAGTACAGCTGAAGAACAATCTAAGGAAGAGGTTCAGAGAATGGCTGTAGAAATCAACAATATTGCTTATGAAATGGAAGCACGGTATGGGCTCCTGAAGAAATAGCAGCATTCATAAAGTGAACATAACAAAAATTGCTATGGTACCTTAAAGACTGGTCTTCCTCTGACTTAGAGCCAACTAACTGCATATAATGAGGCAGTTTTTATAATTTACAAAAGTTAAGATTTTGTGAATCTTTTCTGTCTGTGTGTGTATGAGTGTTCCAGACAAAATGCACCTCTGAATTTCAGACTGTTTTGGGAGTCTCTCTTTGTGTGTCATTTGTGCTCAACAATCTGTCTCTGTTCCATATAGACTTCTGTGCTATTTTCTGAACTTTCAAAAAGTCTGTTGTGTTAACTCACCCCTTGTGCGTCATTTGAAGTTAACAGGATAACATATAGATTTTTTTAAGTGATCCTCCTCTCCTCATGGAAAAAAGAGAGTGCAGTTCAGTTCCTTCCCTCCCCCCACACCAATGTTTCTTCTTACCATTTTCATTATTGGACTTGGAGATGAGATGCCACTGATGCTGAATCAGGACTGATGTAAATGGTGGGCCAAGGTACATTTCTCTCTCCAGCTCTCTTTACCTACATTATTTGGAGAGATGGTGAGGTTCTCTCATTGACTGGCACATGAACAACTAATGCTCTTGGTGTGAAAGAGAAAGGAACTTTTTAAAAAATGCCAAAAGTGTAACCACTTTCATACATCTGATTTTTTTTCTGTAGTCAGAGTCATCTGCAATCTGAAGAGATTGTGGCAGAGCTGGTTTATAGCTTCCTGATCCCTGAAGTGCAGAAAATAACCATTAAGGAGAAAGGTGAGAAAATGAACACCTTGGTTACCTCTTACCGTTAATTTGTATTCTGGATGCTTGGTTCTAGTATCCAGCTACGCAGTGATTTATCTACTGAACAGTTTAATTCCAGGTAAGTACATTATCAGTAAACCTGCAGCAAATAATGGGTAACTTCTGTCTTTGATATAACATGTTGTCCGAAATAAACCTTAGCAAAGACAACAGAATCCATTGGATTCAGTCTGCCAGTAGTTATAATTGTGTAACGGGATTTTTAACTTAAAATGGTAGCTTTTTAGTGGTCATCTCTGCATTTGCACAACCAGGCTCTGTGCCTATAGAAAGCGCAGATCATTTGGACACTCTAAAACTGAGCTTTTTCACAGGTGCCCACTGTCATATCCTCTCTGTCAAGTATGCCAGTTAGAGTCTCTCCCTGCTCATCATTTCTAAGCAGGCTCAAGAAGACTTTTCCTGCACAGAGGCTGGCCACAAGAATTATTATGCAACAATGCACATGGACTGTTGATATGTATTGCTTGTCAACATTTCAGGGGTTTTTTTTCCTACAAATGTCAGGAAAGGGGACTTTTTTAAAAATTCTGTTTCCAGGATTTTATTTTTTTTTATTTCCCTCTCTTTTTGTTAAAAATAAATAATAATATTGTAGTGCATTGTTATACTGTTGTATATATTGTTTTTCCTATTAATTAAAAATATCAGAAAAAATTGATAAAATAGTACCTTAAGGCTCTGTAAGCAAGGCACCGATTTAACTTTTTAAAACCTAAAAAACAAGCAAAGCAAGCAAAATGGCTGTTTTTGCCCCTCCCCAACATAGAAGTTGTGAATATACAAATGAGTTGCTAATGGGCCACATATAATATACAGGCCTCACTTTTTGCACCCCTGTGCTGAACTGATGGTTAAGTTTCTGACCTAAGTGGTACCTACTTAGCACAGAAATGTCCCCTCCAAAATCTGAAGGTGATAAAGAAAAGGGATAATTTCAGTAACTACTAAACCATTTATAGAGTCTTAATTCTCAGATGATGATCACAACACCAGATCATTTCCTTCAGTGGGAGACAGACAGAAATGACAGTGGTCTCCCCATCTGACCTAATCTTGAAGCAATTGATGGCAGTGTATGTTTTTCCTCCAAGTAGAAATGGTTCCTCCTATTTTATTGTTTGCATCAATAATGATACAATAATGATATCACCCTCTAAGATGCACACATTTGTGGGGATGGCAATATCCTCTAACCTCAGGGTTTTCCAGGCTGTCATACCTGAGATTTCTAAACCATCTAAAATTTATTAGCCTTGATCCTGGTCATCTGGCTGTTGGAAGCGTTCTTCCTTAACTTAATCCTGTAGAGAAAAGTTGTGGTTGGTTTCATACACTAAGAATCAGCCTAGGGGTCACACTTACTATTGAGATGTGCCCTATTACAGTGGTACCTCGGGATACGAACTTAATCCGTTCCGTGACTCTGGGCGTATCCC